GAAGCATTATGCTCAACTCTAATGTTCCCATACACTTCTGGGGGGATGCAATCTGTACTGCTGTTTACCTTATTAACCGAATTCCCTCATGGGTTTTGGACATGAAAACACCATTCAACCTTCTGTATCCAAACAAGGACTTGTTCACTATTCCCCTTAAAACCTTTGGGTGTACATGCTTTGTTCAAATCCTGGGACCTCATCGCTCCAAATTTGATCCCAAAGTTGCTAAATGTATTTTCCTTGGGTATGCACAAAATCAAAAGGGGTATTGTTGTTATGATCCTGTTTCGGGGAGGCGTTATGTGTCCATGGATGTCACCTTTTTTGAGGATATGCCCTACTATCATAGGGCCTCTCCTCAGGGGGAGAGTCGTGAGGAAGGGATTTCAACCCTAGAAGTTCCATTACCTATCCCAGTTGTTGAGGGGGAGTGTCGTGAAGAGGGATGTCAAAAGTGCAGGGAGTTGAGAGTGTATTACAGATAGTGGTGGAGGCAGGTTGGTTCTCGTTCACAACAGTCCAGGCCGATCCCAACACCTCCTACAGCTTCAGATCCAGGCATTACACCCATTGTTGAGCCCATTATTGCAGATACTTCACCTAACACTGTTGAGCCTCAGTCCTTCCTTCAGATGACATTGATCTCCCAATTACAATTCGTAAAGGGAAGCATCGTTGTACTTCATCCACTACTCATTGTATCTCCCAGTTTTTCTCTTATGGTCGTCTCTTAGAATCCTACAGATCATTTCTCATAACAGTGCAATAGGCTCTTCCGATACCTGAATGGAAAGAAGCAATGCAAATAGAGATGGATGCACTTATTAAGAACACTTGGGAACTAGTTGACCAATCTGAGAGGAAGAAACCTGTTGGATGCAGATGGGTGTTTATAGTAAAATATAATGTTGATGGCTCTGTAGAGAGATACAAGGCCAGATTGGTTGCAAAGGGCTTCACACAAACTTATGGCATAGACTATATGGAGACCTTTGCACCAGTTGCAAAGATGAACACAATTAGAGTCCTACTATCTATGGCTGCAAACTTCTCTTGGCCACTTTTTCAGATGGATGTCAAGAATGCTTTTCTAAACGGAGATTTGCAGGAGAAGGTGTACATAGAATTACCTCTCGGTTTTTACAATAGAACCAGGAAAGAAAGTTTGTCGACTAAAGAAGGCTTTGTATGGGCTGAAACAGTCTCCGAGAACTTGGTTTGACAGGTTTAGATTGGCATTAGAAAAGTTCGGCTACATGCATGCTCAATCAAATCACACTCTCTTCTTTAAGAAGACAGACTTTTCTTTGACCTTACTTGTTGTCTATGTGGATGATATTGTGGTGACTGGAAGTGATATTAATGAGATAGATGCTCTTAAGCAGAATCTTCACAAAGAATTTGAAGTAAAAGACTTGGGAGAACTACGCTATTTCCTAGGAATTGAGGTGGCTCGATCTAAGCATGGCATCTTCATCTCTCAAAGAAAGTATGTCCTTGACTTATTGGAAGAAACTGGAAAGTTAGGAGTAAAGCCTACTAACACACCCATTGAGTTGAACCATAAAATAAGTGCAAAAGGTGGAGAACCTCTTGAGGACAAGGCTATGTATCAAAGGTTGGTTGGGAAACTTCTTTATCTCTGCCTAACACAACCAAACATTTCATATGTTGTCAGTGTTGTTAGTCAGTACATGCATTCTCCTAGGACCACTCACCTTCTTACGATGGAAAGGAGACTTGCTAACTTGAAGAGATGCCCCGGGAGAGGCATACTTTTCAAGAACAATGGACACATGAAGATAGAAGTGTATACAAATGTTGATTGGGCTGGATATATTGATGACAGAAGATCTACCTTGGGGTATTGTGCATTTGTAGGGGGGAACCTTGTTTCTTGGAGAAGCAAAAAACAAAATGTTGTTGCTCGCTCCAGTGCTGAAGCTGAATGCAAGTCCATGGCCAATGGTGCTGCAGAAGTGTTATGGCTGAAATCTTTGCTGGATGAACTTGGAATTGACTATGAGAAACCTTTGATGTTGTATTGTGATAATCAAGCAACAATTAACATTGCCCATAACCCAATACAGCATGACAGGACTAAACATATCAAGGTGGACAGACATTTTATCCGAGAGCGTGTTGCATCTCAAGAAGTGTGTCGTCCCTATGTTACCTCTGATATGCAGCTAGCTAGCTGATCTCTTTACTAAAGCAGTCACAAAACTCAGGTTGGAGACAGATTTACGCAAGTTGGGTATGACAAATATTTACTCCCAACTTGAGGGGGAGTGTAGAGATAGCTGATAAGCTGTTAGTGTTTGTGGGGTTCCAACCCCACATTATATACTTGCTGTTTATTTTATTTTTTATTTAGAATAATTAGGCCAGCTAGGCCTTGTTTGTCTTTCTTTCATTTGTTTTAAGGGTATTATGGTAATTAGTCATTGTAATATATTACAATATAAATACATCTTAGTGGGCGGCTAGAAACATAATTCAGCCGAACCCTTTCTTTCCTACTTCTCTTCCTCTCTCCATRCCTCTTCTATTCGTGACCCTTCTTTCTCTTTCTTTTCTACTTTTTTAAATCAGAAAAACAACTATTTGCTGGTTTAATTTATTCAAGAAACCCCAAAATACTTTTGGGTATGTGAAGATTTAAATCCAGGAACAAGACAAGAGATGCAAGGGACTTATATACAAAGATTAGACCACAACTTAGCCCGTGTTTGGGAGTGCTTATTATTAAAATAGGTGCTTATTGGATAAGTGCTTACTTTAAATGGGGTCACATAGGTATTTTAAAAATTACATGGGCCCAGGCAGGTCAAAAAGCAACAAGTGTTTTCAAATAAGCAACTTCTTAGGTGTTTATTCAAAACGGACTTATTTCCACGAATAAGCACTTATTAAGGACTTATTTACCAAACACCAATAAGGCTGTATTTAAGAAGAATGCAAATGTCAATTCAATGCATATATGCACTCTGGTTCAATTTTTTAGGTGTTTGGTAAGAATGTATTTGTGTATTGATGATGACAACAAACATGGATTCCTAGACATGTTTGTGTTCAAATGAAAGCAAAAGTTAGCATCCAAAAAATGGATGCAAACTTTAGACTCAAGTTGTTCAATATAAAAAAGGCGGTTTTCAATCTCAAGATTTGTGTTTGTACCTACTACAACTAAAAAACATTTGGCAAGAATACAAAATTTTCAATACAAAACTAAACCAACTTTGCACTTTTCTTAATTAAACATGTTTGTATTTGTATTGATTACTTTCTATTTGTACTCTTCCCAAGTGCAGCCTCAAGTGCTTATTGGTGCAAACCCAGCCTCAAATAAGTACTTATTCCAATAAGCACTTAAAAATAAGCACTCCCAAACATGGGCCTAATGGCTTAAGCTTTTGGGTTAAAGCCTTAAAGGTAGTGTCCAACTCTTGTGTATAAGTACTACATGTTTGCACAAGCACATGCACAACATTATTGTACTTAACCTCTAATGTGCATATAACATAGAATAACTGACCTCTCTGTAGAATCCTACTCCACAGAATAAAAGAGCAGGAAACCGTTTGTAATATTCGAATAAACTAAGAGTCCGTTTGGCTCACTGTTAGAATTGGAATTAGAATTAGAACCAAAATCCCTCGGAATCAGAACTGGAATGGTCTATTCCCATAGCCTGTTTGGTTCAGACAGGAATCGGAATGAGAATTGGAATAAACTGGAATGGGATTTCATTCCCAAGGGAGGGGGAGGGAATGACCATTCCCTCAAATGGGGGAATGCCATTCTACCATGAATGGGAATGGGATTCTGATTCTGCCCAACCAAACAGTTGGTATTAGAATCGCCAATTTCAATTCCGATTCCAGACCCCTATTCCCGTGAACCAAACGAGCCCTAAGTTCTTTCCAACATATTTGGCCTTAGGCCCATTCGCTTTTCGGTAAGTTACTTACCCAGGTAAACGCAGTTATCTGGGTAAGTTTTTCTTGGGAAACACTTACCCGGGTAAGTGCATTTACCCATGTTCTTTTATTTCTCATGTAAACAAGGCAATGACCATTTTAGCCATAAAAATCCATTAATAAAAGGGGCAGTTTTGTCCCATTCAAGTGTTGGCAACTTTCCCTCTAGGTGGGAAAGTTATTTACCCACCTAGGGTAAGTGATACCCAGGAAAATAAACTTTTCCTGGTCCCCACATAAATCTGAAAAAAAAAAGAATATGGGATTCTTGGTCAATAGGAACCAAAATCCCATTGAACAACTTTCCCCCCTCTCAAAATCCAAAAAAAGATCGCTCCCTAAATATTAACTGAAAAAGTCTCTTGCCAAACTTCTGCAGTACTGCCATGAATCACATCTGATAAATACAACAACAATGACATCAACAACCCACAGAGAAATAGCTGCTTAAAACACCATTGTCAGAATGTAACTATTGAAGATTCCAGCATTTCAGTAGTTTGCGGGGTTAGATTAGTTTCTAACAGAGTTCTTCAGAGTTCTTTTCACTGCCCCCGGAAAACGTAGTTTAACTAGATGGATCAGTTTGAAAATATGCCCAATAGGATAAAAGGCTGATGACTAGCAGAAGATGCATCTGAAGACAAAAATGAAGAACAGATTCTCATCCTACCTCACCCTATAAAAGAAACAGAAAATAAAAGATAAACTACTTGCTACATTAATAATGAATATAAAGATCAAACTTGTGTGTAATGTCCAAGAGATTACACCTGTCAAAGGATAGTAGCAATACAATCCCAGAAAATGGGGGATATAGAAAGAATAAAATGTGGGTAGATCTGCTTCTAGATATAATCACGCATCAAATCTAATGAAACCCAGATCAGAAAAAAGAAAACGGAGGATAAGAAACTAACTCATCTCCAATTAATAAATTATTATTAAAAGCAACTAAATGCATTTGATCCGCCTCTACTGATGTAAGGTAAAAGTGGGTTTAGGTAAACTTACCATCGCTAATACATCAAATATATCCAATTATTCCGCGAGGAGACGAGCTTTTCCTTGTAATTAAGGTTAAAACGGAAGATTCGGGTTTCAAAGGACTCTGATGAGTTTGAGACTTTTAAGTAGAAGAAGCTAAGACCAAGAAAGAACTCTCTCTCTCTCTCTCTCTCTCGCTTTCTTCTACGACTACGGAGAAAATTAAACTTTAAAACCGACCAACCACCAAAAGCGAACTATTCTCTTGATAACCTGCCGAAAACTGCATTTTACCGAAATCAGTATCTACCAACATCGACCGTCCAATTGATGGTAATATCTCACATCTAATGCCCTTTGGGTCATCCAAACCCTAGACCTCATATAGCTACGATTTCCCTTTTTTTTTTTTGTCATTCCCATGCATTATAAGTTTGTTGCAATAATAACCATGGGACCACGTTGACGTTGTAGAGTAGGTACTTACATAGAATCATGGTTTTTAAAACCGATTCGGAGACCCAACCGGTCAGGGGTCCGATTACCAAGTTGAACGGTCACCAAATGCTCAGCCCATTTTGACAAAAATTTAAAAAAAAAAAATGGTTTAAACGGTTCAAACGGTTAAGCGCCCAGTTCAACGGTTCATTGACCAAAATCAACGGTTTTCGGGGAAAATCTAATTTTTGGGGAAAACGGAATTGGTCACCTAACCGGTTCCYGGTTTTTCCAATCCGACTGTCCGGTCCGGTCCAGTTTTGAAAACCATGCTTAGAACTAAGATTTTTTTTAATTTTTAAATTAAAAGGAAATGTTGACTTTACATCATTGTGCAAGTCAACAATGGATTTCAATTTTCATATTAAGGAGATTTTTTTTTTTTTTTTTTTGATAAAGCTCAAAGAACAAATAAAATACAAATCTGTACAGTTTAAATACATACAAAATACAAGATTTTATACTCTACATATTTGTATTTGTACTCCTTCCAAACTCAGCCTAAGGCTGCATTTGTAAATGATGCAAATATGTAAGTGTAAAACGGTCCATATAAATTGTAAAGTTGGGTTAGTTTTGCATTGACAAATTTACCTTCTTAACAAGCTGGCTTTTAGTATAAGTACTTTGGGCTTAGTGTCACTTTGGTCTCCAAACTTTAAAACATGTCATTCTAGTACACAAACTTTTAAAATGTATCAATTTAGTACCTACCATTAACCATCCGTCAGTTATGTGTATCACGTGACGTACATGCAACTTAAATTTTTTAAAAATGCAAAAATTAGCCTTCAAAATAAAACACTATTCTTCATCTTCTTTCTCAAAAACAAAGGCGTAAGTTCTGRGTAGAGTTTTGCAGAATGATAATGCTCGCAACCATTCTTAAATAACATACTGTTCATCTTTTTCAACTAATTTGCATTGGCTACAAGAGTCGTGTTACTCTATTCTCCATATAGACTTATTTGTTAGATAATAAGCCACCATCTCCCTCTCTTTCCATTTTTCTAACAAGATTGTAACTGATAGAAAAAACCCAAGCATCTTATGACAACAATTGTAAACCAAACACATTCTTCATGAACATAAAAGATAAAACTATGTTACCGTATGATATTGCACGACCTGGCGGCTCTCACATGGTAGATGACTCAGACGCTAAATCAGATGTTCACATTCGGTGGCCGAGCTAAGGTTGGCCAAGCTATATGATTCTACAAGAGCGAGAGTTAGAGTGCACGGGTTGTTTTTACCCGGGGTGGGGCAATGGGCACTCCGATGCTTAAGTCAACAAAGAGTTCTTAGAAGGTTTTAAGAAGTTAGAGAGTGCGAGATCTTAATCATGCGTACCTCCTCAGGTAGAAATGAGACCTTTATATAAGTGTGAGTGCTCAAAGACCTTCTCGTAACGGATCTCAAGTTCTTGTAGAGCCATTTCTGTTAAGTTGGGAGAGTAATGACGTCAGTTACATAATCTGTATAGAAGGCTAAGGTCCGTCCAATTGCCTCTGATGTGCGTGATGCGGGTAGGCCAACCTAACAGTCGACTCATTAATATTCCAAAGAACTCAATCTGGTAACGGATCTATGTGACAAGTCAGCGAGCATGCCTTGTAGGTCGCCGATAGTACTTTTCTTACCTCGGTTGGTCCATAAGGTAGGTCACTCCTTATTCGGAGGTCCTTCAGGCCGGCCAAGCCGAGGTACTTTTAGGTCGGCCCTATGAAGAGCTACCAACCGACCTACCAAGGTGATCCGCTTACTCAATGCCGAGGTGTCACTTAAAAACCACGTGTCATGATGTCATTCAAATGACCAAATTACCCCTCGTCAACTGCCCCCACTCCTGAGTTAGCGTCAGCTCAACGAAGGGAGTAGTTCTCAATATGGTAATTGGTCCGACTAGTTCATAGGTCGTTCGGCTCGCTCACCTGATCCGGTTCGAGAATAGGTGGGATCGGGGCAAAATTCAAATTTTAAAATTTTGAAATGGGGAAGCACTCAATAGGTGGGCAAGGTTCAAAATTCWAAATAGCTCACGCGCAATGGCGCCTTCTCAATCGTCAATTCACTAGTAGCGCATCTCAGCCATTGCGCAATGGCGCCTTCATAGCAAACTATAAATAGGGGGTCCCCACCGGGGTCCCACTCGCACTGCTTTTGGAGCTTTCTCTGAGGGAGAGTGTGATCGATCAGAGGAGAGCTCTGTTGAGATGTTGATGCTCGTTCACCTATCAGAGTCTATTCGTCGCTAGTGCTGGCTCTCTATTTCCCATTAACTGGTGAGTCACATCCTTCATAGCTATGTCTTCTAGTCCTTCTAAGGGTAGATTGTTGAACTTTGGGTGGGTGAGAGGGGAGAGCTCATCGCGAGACCAAAGAGGGTTCTCAGGCCGAGACCTCAACGTCTCAGCCAAAGGCCGAGGTGAAGGCCCAAGAGGAGGAATCCCCATTCAGTCATTCCAAGCTATCCGGTGAGCGTATAGTTGAGTTATACACCATATATCAGATACCCAGTGAGTTTGACTACATCCAGCCTGACCCTGATCATTTCCCAAGGAGTCATGGCTGAGACAAGGTTTGTGTCTTTGAGGAGGCATTGGTCGCTGACCTTTGCTTTCCCTTGCATCCTTTTATCCCTACTGTGCTTTCAAATTATGGTGTCTCTTTAGGTAAGCTCCACCCTAACGTAGTTCAAACACTAGTAGGGTTGATTTCCTTGTGCCATCATCACAATTTTCCTTTAGACTTAGATATTTTTCCAGGTTATGTGTCATGAAAAAAGTCCCCCACGTACCCTATTGTTTTTGCCTTCCCTTCCACTGCGGCTACAAGATGTTAGATGGCTTTCCCTCAAAGGTTAAATATTGGAAGAACAAATACTTCTTCCTTTCTCATAGTTCCGGTTGGAATATGGACACTATATGGTGGAGGGACTTCTGAAAATTCAGTGTAGAGTTTGATGAAGAGTTGCGACTTAAGGTTCAACACCTCACATGCCAAAACTTTCAAGTTGAAAACTTTTTGGCCAAGCATATGCTTATTAGGGCCGACTTGAGCCGCATAGGTAGGTCGGCCGACACGCCCTTTGTATTTTGATTTTAGAACTTAATTTCAAGTCAGCTAATGTCTTCTTTGTCTTTTTCAAATATGGCAAGCATAGAATCACTCCTGGCGGCATCAAAGAAGAAGGTGTCTAGGAAGAAGATGAGGGTTGAGCGCTCATCAATGGAGGGTACCTCAGCTAGTGTCGAGGCATGGTCAGTGGCATTTGCTTTGAATGACGTCGACCTTGAGGGAAGTGGCAAATCCATGAGCACTAATTAGGTCCCTATGGATCCTGTCACCTCTCCTTTTCAAGTCGGCCAAGAGGAACGTCCTGCTGGTCCTTACCTTTCTGACATACCCCACTTCGTCCCTAACATCAATGTCTCTGTGCTTGACCGCCTTAATGGTTCTCATGTGGCTCTTCAAATGGAGAGAGGTATGCTCCTCCCCAAGGATGTGTAGTACTATTGTGGCTTGGACCCAACTGAGGTCGGCACCAAGATGGCTCAGTGCATCCTCTAGGTTCATCTCCAAAGCTTCTACTCTCTTGTTCTATAACTCTTCTACTGATTGTATTTTTTTCTTTTTCTGGTAAGCAAACACTATGAGTAAGGTTCTACTGGATCAAGTCACCTCAAGCCAAAGAGAGAGGCATAAGCTACAGGCGAGCATCGATGCTCTGCAATCTCGGATATAGGGGATTCAACTCGGTGCTTAAGAAGACCACCAGCAATTCATCAGGCTGAGTGACGAGATGCAACACGAGTTGAATGAGGCCAGAGAGACCATTGCTGCCCAAGAACGCCAATTAGAGGAGAGGCGGACGAAATATATTGAAGATATCCATCAAGCCAAGATTTCAACTATCGAACGTTTTCGTTGTTCCCTCAAGTATGCCCAGGAGAAGGTTGATAATGCAGTCCCCACAATGAAGAGGGGATTTAAGCTTTGTCGCCGCTACTTGAAGACATTGCACTCCGACTTCTACTTCGACACTTTATCTATCAATAACATCCCGAACGAGCTAGGTGTGCAAGTTGACTGGGAGCCTTTGACTCCTGATGAAGAAGTAGAGGTAGTCGGCATAGAAGAGGGCAGAGGAGATGATGATGTCAACGACGAGCTGCAGGGCGGTGATGAGTAGGTCGGCCATGATATCTGGTGTTCTTTTCTAATGATGTTTCTATTGGAAAGGGATGACGAGGATTATTCCTTGTGGAATCCGAGTCAGAATCTTTCCTGTTTTTAGTTATTTATTTTCTTATTTAGGTTGTGATTTAGTTTCCTTTTTTTCTTTAGGCTAAATTATAGTGGGTTAATTTCCAACAATAGCTCCTAGATTGATTCTTAGAAGTTGTATATATTTGTACAGATCTTCTCAATGAAATTAGAACAGAAATCTTCAAACATTTGTTTCTGTTTTCATGGTATCAGAGCCTGCGACGATGTCTGGACGAGCCATTCTTCATCAACAATGGACTCAACAATAGTAGATTCAACCATGAATGCATCGAGATCCCTTGAAACCTCCTTCACCACCTCTGACATAAGCCATTCTCTGTAGATTACCCAACACAAATTAAATGGGTCCAATTTTCGTGAATGGTTTCAATCTATTTTGTTAGTGATTTGAGGAAAAGGAAAAGGGGGTTACCTTACTGGTGAAATCCCTCCTCTAGCGAGTAGTGATGCGAGTTACAAGACATGAGAAACTGAAAATTCCATTGTCATGGTGTGGTTAATCAATTCCATGGAGCCACAAATAGGACGCACGTATCTGTTTTACAAGAATGCTCACGAACTATGGAAGGTTGTTCAGGAGATGTACTAAGATCT